CATATGTTCTGTGTGTGTGGTAGGTAAAAACATCTTAAATAAAGACAAGCCATTAATCCCAGTACTCGGGATGCTGTATGTAGTTCAAGGCCATGGTGGTCTACAGGAAGCACTATGTCTCAAGAAGGAAAGGGAAGAAAAAGAGAGGAAGGAGTCCATCAAAACTGATAAAACATTTCCAAAGGAAATTTGACTTTTACTGGTTTAAAACATTTGATCCAGACTGCAAATATATGTGCACTAAAGTGTTCATCAGTAGGAGACTGACTAAACATTTTATTGTGTAGACAACCCATATAACAGGGTCTTGTGCACCTATTTTTAAAAGTAAGGAATACAGTAGCTCTATCGTAACATTCCCCAAGAAGCTCTTTTAAGAAGAGGTAAAATAAAGAAAACAATGAATAACTGAAGGACAGTATGTACAGTGTCATCCCACTTGTAGGAATGATTTTAATGTATATGGGTGTTTTGCCTACATGCATATCTATGCATGTGCACATCCCTGATACCCTCAGAGGCCATAAAAAGGCATCAGATGGCATCAGGTTCCCTGGGACTGGAGTTACAGACAGTTGTGAGCTGCCATGTGGGTATCAGGAATGGAACCCAGGTCCCCTGGCAGAGCAGCCAGTGCTCTTAACCACTGAGCCATCTCTCCAGCCCCTAACTTCTACTTTTCACAGCGTTCCATTTCATTTTAAAACCATGACATATGTATTTAAATGATTAAAACAAAAACAGGGGCTTAAAAAAATGTACCTCGTGTGTATGAGACCCTGGTTTGATTCCTCAGCCCCAAAAGGAAACACACAAAAGTGAAAAATACAATATTCTTTGTTTTTTGTTTTGTTTTGTTTTTCGAGATAGGGTGTCTCTGTATTACTCTGGAGGCTGTCCTGGCACTCGCTCTGTAGACCAGGCCGGCCTTGAACTCACAGAGATCCGCCTGCCTCTGCCTCCCAAGTGCTGGGACTAAAGGTATATGCCACCAATGCCCAGCACAAGATACAATAGTCTTAAAAGCAAAGTTTTACATCAGAAGAAATCGCTTTCTATGGAAGCTAACTTGTGAGGAAATCCCATCAATGCTAGGACAGTCAAATGTAGCTCCACAGTACTGGCAGTAGCAGGCTGTCATGACTCCTCCTGCTTCCACGCCATGGCCCATGGCACTCCATTAGAAACCAACAATGAGTTAATAAATATTTAAACCACCTGACACTTGATAGCACTTACTGAGGCCTCGATATGTGAGGCCGGTAACACTCCTATCATCATTCCCGCTTGGCAGCGGTCCCAACCATACATCAGCCTTTCCGCATTGCCCAGTCCTGATCGATCTCAATCAGGCCTCAGTCAATGACCAACCTAGAGTGCCTACTGCAAAAATGCATGCAAAAAGCTCATGCCGGATGAAATCTCTATGAGCCCCTGTCATGCCATGAAGATAGAAGCCTCCTTGTACAACAACTTCACATCCTACATATGTGTGTTCTCCCAAAAGATGCCCTAATCCACCTTCAACAGCCTCCTTAATAAGAAACAGAAGCTTGAGACCCTACACTTCTTGCCTTCCTTCTGCCCTTTTCTCTTCACAGATTCCTCTCCCTAACATTCCCTGTGCTCTTACAAAAGAAAAAGTGGTGAAGGCCAAATTCCTACCCTGCCTTTATGAAAAGGACACCACACTATTATGACATGACTCTCCCCTGTGTCCTTGTCACCCTCACCCACTTACCATCCTTCCCATCCTCTGTTAGATACACCCTGCAGGCCTGTCCCACCAAGCCAGGCTTTGAGAGCTCCTACTAGAGTCCATTTTGTGCCCCAGGGTCCCAGCTCCACACACACACAGGTGACAGTCTGGGAAGAGTTCCCATGGTGCATTAGCTGGAGTGAGTGAGAGAGTGTGGTGCTTTCTAGCACCTCAGACTGAGGTGCACCAGGTAGTCCTTTTCCTCCTACACAAGGCCTCCTGTCTCATCTCTTCAGGATGCGCTGAGCAACACAACTGCAACTTCTCTGCTGAGAAGCCCTCCGTAAATCTAGTTTGTGCTGGTTACATCACTTGTCATCCATATACAACCCCCACAACAACTGCTTTGTGCTTTGTCTTCTCAGCTGATATGTGTGTGTGTGTGTGTGTGTGTGTGTGTGTGTGTGTATGATCTATATAATGATTCTTTTTTGTTTTAGACAGAGTTTCTCTATGTAGTCCTGGCTATCCTGGAACTAGCTCTGTAGATCAGGCTGGCCTGGAACTCACAGAGATATGCTTGCTCCTACCTCCCAGATGCTGGGATTAAAGGTACAGTGTGACACTTTAGTAAATACAAATTCTGTTAAATGTCAAACCCCAGAACTGTATCTCACAGACTTACTAATTGTGCACACTGCATAAGGTTGACCAGATGGTGATTTCACTAACTAACAACACTTTTCTAAAACCATCATTTGAGCTGGGCATGGTGGTGCATGCCTTTAATCCCAGCACCTGGGAGGCAGACATAGGTGGATCTCTGAGTTTGAAGACAACCTGGTCTACAGAAAGTTCAGGACAGCCAGAACTACACAGAGAAATCTTGCCTCAAAAATAAATAAATTAAATAAATAAATAATAAACCCATCTGCTTTTATCATCTTTTCTAAAAAGAAAAGACTAATATCAAAAAGAGGCAAGCACAAATCCCAGAATTAACTACTACTAACTAGTTTCATTAGCGTTACAAAACTCACTGTATTGTCTTTACATTACTTATTTTGCCTCGGAGTCAAAAAATGTTGCCAGGGACAAACACTGCTTTTCAGCCTGGAATTTGGAACCCCAGGGGTGGAACAAGTTTAGTCACTTGTGCCTGGTTCTGTTGAGGCATCTCTGAGGTACATTCTAAGCTGTCCAAATTCACTAATTCTTCCAGGAACCCATGAGAGAGATCACTTCAGCCCACATGGCAGCAAATGGAGGCTGAAGTCTTGGACTTAGAATTTATGGTTGGTGAGCATTCTATTCATCATCTCCACATTCTCCGTGCACAGGCGAAGCATCTGGCCTGTGGCAGCCATAACTATTGTATCATGACAATAATTACTGTGGAGTTAGTAGTTTACAGTTAATAAAGCACTTTCATGTTTAGCAGATATTTATTGAACTAGACTAGAAGGGAAGAGCTGAGGATTAGTGGGCACAGGAAGTCTGAGCACCCCCGGTCCCCATATTTCCACCACTGCTTAGGGAACTCTTCAGCATCCTTGCTGCCACTATAAACTGGCAGGTCCTCTCAGATGGAACCTGGACCTCCATCCTTTCACACTGGGTATCACAGTGATCTTTTCTGCCTGTCTGAAGATGGAAGACTCAGTGGTTTTCAACCTTCCTAATGCTGTGACCCTTTAATAGTTCCTCATGCTGTGATGACCCCACATAAAGTTATTTTGGTTGCTTCACAACTGTAATTTTGCTATTGTTATGAATAGTAACGTAAATACCTGATGTTTCTGATGGTCTTGGGTGATTCCAAGGGATCATGACCCAGAGGTTAAGAACTACAGCAGTAGGCTTATGAGCTAGAGGGAAAAGTGGTATCAGGCCCAGGCCAGCTCATAACCTATCACATTTGTCTCCTAATCTCATTTCTCACTGAATTGATCCTGTGAGGAGCACAAGCCTTGCCTCCACAGGCAGTCTCAAAATATCCATTCACCCTTCACATGCATGGTGTGTGTGTGTGTGTGTGTGTGTGTGTGTGTGTGTGTGTGTGTGTGTTGAAAGAAGGTAGATACACTTAGTTGCTATAACAAATGTTATATTTTTTATTATGCTGAGGGTCACTTTTAGGTTCACATCCAAATTCCCAACTATGGTCCTAAGCTTATCTCCCCAAGTCTGCTCACCTATGGGACAATGTATCTAGCTGGAGGTCAGGTCCAATCTCTAACAGAAGTGTCTGACCTGAGGATCAGGATCTTGGGAGAGACTCTCCAGGTGCAAGGTAAGATCAAGGTGGTCTCTCCAGATGTGCAGAGCAGAGCTTTGCTCTTGATCTCTGCTTGTATGCTGCCCAGTGGTGTCCTGTGCTCTAGGACTGCGTCTGGTTATCTTGAGTGAGTGGTATCAGCGGCTTCTGGTTATCAGGCACAGCCTTGCGTGAAGTGAGCTTCCTAAGCTATTTTCACAATTCTGAAGGCATTTTGTACCATGCTTATTACAGTGTGCTGGGGGGGAGGGGTATACATGCGTGTGCGCGCGCGCGTGTGTGTGTGTGCGTGTGTGTGTGTGTGTGTGTGTGTGTGTGTGTGTGCATGTAGAAACCAGAGGCAAACATGGAGTGCTTCCTATCTATCCGTCTTATCTTTTTCTTGAATCAGGCTCTTTCACTAAGCCTGAAGCTCACAGATTTGGCAAAAGCAGCTAGCCAGAAACCTCCCCATCATCCTGTCGCTGTCTCCCCAAAGCTACAATTACAGCTGTTAGCTGACACACCCTTTTTATGTTGATGCTGAGGATCTTTCTTGTTCAGTAAGCCCTTTACCAAGTGAGTTATCTCCGCAGCCTCTCATATAAACTCAAGCTTCTTTGAAAGAATTATTTAAAGTTTTTAAAGAAGCAAAAGAAAAGTCAAAGCTTCCTCCACCGAAACTCGCCACCCTCCCTCCCTCCAACCCCCACCCCTCCCCCAAAAATGGTGGGCCAACAGAAGTGTGAGGAGCCCTGGGGCACAGAGAAGCCTGAAGGTTCCTGCAGAGAAGAGCAGTGGGCTGGCCTACAGGAAACTTGGACTGGGAACTTGCGGGGGAGTCCCTAGCCGGAGGAGGGTAGTGATCGACCCGGCGCGGGGTGCCAGCAGGGAGCGCTCGCAGCCGCAGCGGCTCCCCCTTGGCCCGGGATCTCGCGGAACAAGTCCTGGAAGTCCGGGCGGGCAGTCTATAGAGGCAGGACTCTCGCCCTTCGCCCTAGCGTTCTCCCTCCCTTTGATCTGTCACTTCCCGTAACAGAGTTCGACCCACCTCTCACTCCACCCCCCGCCTGAACTATGCAAAGAGCGGGATTGCTGCTGGGTAGCTGGACTCAAGCGTGGAAGTCGGTGAGGATGGCCAGCTCCGGGGTGACTCGCCGGAACCCACTCTCGAATAAAGTGGCCCTGGTCACTGCCTCCACCGACGGGTGAGTACGGTGTCTCCATGCAGAAACAAGTGTTCTTTAACTCCTGGACTCTTGTCCACAGGCCTCAAAGACGGCCAGAGGCCTGCCAGGAGATACAAAGGAAACAAACCCCACAATGGATCTGAAATCTCTTCGAATCCCCAACCTGACCCTGCCACCAACCAGCCCCTTTTGACACTGCTGCCTTTCGCGTTGAGACAGCAGGACACTGCCGAGTGTACCCAGGCCCCCATGCTCCTAGGCTGCCCCAATCAATAGCTCCACCTAGAGTGTGGGAAGACCAAAACAAACAAGGTTTCAAAGCTTCTGCTCTGACCACCCCACTGACAGCCCTCCCCAGTAACCACACCCCTTACCTAGATGAGCAGGAAGATCCTGTGTACAGATCTTTGCTTAGGTCTGTATATTTTGGCCCACGGTGCCCAGCCTGTCTCGCCCACCACCCTTTATCTATCCTTTTCATCCCCACAAGACTTGGGTAGATAAAACTTCCTCACAAACTTAGAATAGAGATGTATATGAAAAGCTAACACCTGGCAATTGTAAAATGTGTAATTGATATTTACATTTTGAGCCATGTTTTTCCATGAAGGCCCCCAAATCTAACAAAAGATAGAATATTGAGGTTGTGGTCTGGTAAGAGAGACACGGGCTCCTTCAAGCAAGACCCTCAAGCCACTGCCAGAGCAACTACTGAATACTCATCTCATTTCTCTCCCTCTTTCCTAACTGTGGTAGATCATGTCAGGTCATGGGAACCAGGGTGAAAGATAAGGTCATAATAAAATTATCTGACTTACCTTCTATCTGTAGCAGTAAGCCTACCCTTCCTAATAGAAACACGTGGAGCTCAAACACAGGGAGAGTGACAATCCAAAGCCAGAAGTCTGAATCCAGAGCCCATGTGTGTCCTCATCCTTTTCCCTGTTGTAGAGACCTCGACAGTGTATCTCTTTTTGTACTTGTAGGATTGGCTTCGCCATCGCCCGACGTCTGGCTGAGGATGGGGCCCATGTAGTCGTTAGCAGCCGCAAACAGGAGAATGTGGACCGGGCAGTGGCCACACTCCAAGGAGAGGGGCTAAGTGTGACTGGGATCGTATGCCATGTGGGAAAGCCAGAGGATCGAGAAAGGCTGGTAACAACGGTGAGCAGGGAAGATATGGGCATTGGGCCAAGAGATGACAGAAAGGAGGCAACCTGTACCTTCATCCCTGACTTTTAAGACAACCCTGGTGAGATGCAACCCAGCATTCACTTCTGCCAGCATTTCCAGTGCCCATATCCAAACTAGTCCACCAATAATTTTTAAATATTTATTTTTATTATTTTTAATTATGAGTATGGTAGGGAGGGTGTTTGTGGGTACAGGTTCCTGTAGAACCCAAAAGAGAACCTTGAGTCCTGTGGAGCTGGTGGGTTTGAGCCATGGGATGTGGGTGCTGGGATCGTCCTCGGGCCCTTTGTGAGTACATCCTCATAAACATCGAGCCATCTCCCCAGCCTCTCACCATTACATTTTTATTGTGTGCCTTTTTCTGTTACATCTGCATCCTAAAGTCTAAGAACAGCCAGATTCTCCCAGCCAGAGAGGTGATTCAACCTTGCAAGATCCCTTAGACATCCCCCAAAAAATGGCTGGACCTGATTCTTTAGGTTGAGCTAATAAGTGTCCCCTTGTTCTTTGACTTACAGAGCTCATAGGTGCTTGTAAGAGGCAGCTCACTGTGTTCCTTGTGCCTACTATGAGCCATTTCTTTTGTGTAGAGCTTTATGCAGGTTTTTGGTGGAAGTTGGGGGTTGAGGCAGGATCTGGTGCTGGAGCTAGAGTGGAGTGGAATTCACTTTGTAGCCTAGTCTAGCCATGAACTTGCTTCCCCTGTGCTGGAAGCACAAATGTGAGCCACCATACCCAGGCAAGGACTATTCTCCCTATATTTACAGAGACTGGGTCACATACTGAAGACACCTCTCCCCTCTCACAGCCTGAAGGGAAAGATCTGTGATTCAGCCAGGCCTACCCTTCTTTTGGTGCCTACAGACTAGGCACTTCCCCCATCTATGTGGTACCAGCCCTTAGATACCCAAATTAACTTTAGTCTAAGCCGGTGTCAGGCTTGACACTTGGCACCAGGCTCCAACTGTGTAAGAAAATATGAACTATGCTACAGAAAAGGTATATCTTCACCCAAACCCCAAAGTGCAAGGGAGGTCCTACCAGCACAGAGAAAGCTCCGCCTGTGAATACACTGGGCAGTGGGCAGAAATAATTTGGGCAGTCGTCTTGAAAGAGAGGAACCTTAAACAACAGTTGACTGAACTGTGAAGGATAAAATAAGATGATTTCATTTTTATTATTTGTTTGTATTTTATGTGTATGAGACTTTTTTGCCTGCATGTATGTCTGTACACCATGTGTTCCATGCCCATGGGATTCAGAAGATGGTGCCATATCCCTTGGAACTGGAATTACAGACAGTTGTGAGCCACTATGCAAATTCTGGGTACCAATCCAGGGTCCTCTATAAGATCAAACAGTGCTGTTAACCACTGAGCCATCTCTCCATCCCCAAGATAATTCCATTTTTCAAGAGCTGTTGACAGATACTTAAATGTGTTTTTCAAAGGGCCAACTATGAGTCCAAGGAATTTGTATTGCCTGGCATGGACCACTGGAAGAGCCTGAGTATGTAGTCTTGATCCTGGGAAGCTGGGGCCAATTAGTGACAGCCATTTAAACAAATATAGCACGTGTATGTGTGCATGAGCATGTGCACACATGTACGTACACACACACACACACACACACCCAGTGCTGGGGTCAAACCCAGAGCCATGTGCAATTTCATGTCAAAATCCTATGGAGTGGGAAGGCTTGGGAGATGGTCCAGCCATTAAATCTCTTGCTCTTGACTAAGGTTCAAGCTCCCTGGCCCACATAAATGTCAGGTATGTCTAGGGGCTCTCCTGTAATGGCAGCCTCAGAAGACAGACATGGGATCCCCAGAGCAGTCTCTGGGTTTGATTGGCAGAACTTGACTCAAAAGAATAAAGTGTAATAGCAGCCAAAGGAAGTTCCTGACATCAACCTCAGGCCTCACACACATGCACCCACATATTACCATGCAAATACACATAAAAGAAGAAAGACTTTATAAAGAAAATATCCTGTGGCCATGCAGTGGTAGCACGCGCCTTTAATCCCAGCTCTCGGAGGCAGAGGAAGGTGGATCTCTGTAAATTCAAGGCCAACCTGGCCTACACACACACACACACACACACACACACACACACACACATGCATGCACATGCATGCACACTCACACACACTGGCCACCAGCAAGTCCACTTAGCAAATCCTGCAGCCCTGGCTCTGAAGTCCAGCTTGAGTTAGACTTCAAGAAATGAGTAGTAATAGGCAGATAGGATGAGGATGGGGCTCCAGTGACCCTGATAAATGAGCAAACAGCCAAGGACTGAAGGGAAGAGGGGAGCTCTGTCAGTCCTCAGCCAAGAGCTAGAACTTGGAAGTAGGCTACATGGGTGGGACTCAGTGACTTCCTCAGCCTCCCAAAAGAGTATCAATGACTGCATAGCATCTAGAACCCATGTGAAGCTTGGAGCAAGATGAAAATGATTTAAAGAAGGATAATCTGGCAAAGGTGATGATTAACACAGAAGATGCTAAGAATGTCAGTGAAGAAGCCATTGGCTGTCATCCAGGTCTAGGGCAGTGGCAAAGGGACCAGCATGAGCTACTCAAGAGACAGTGGGAACGAAGATTTTTCTAACCACATGTCAAGAAATGAAAAATAGGAGAGGCGAGCCACGTACATATGTGGTATACACTCATAGACATGCACACATAAACACACATAAAAAATAAAACTGTCGGGGAGTTGGTACAACGGATATCAGGGTGGAGGGTGATGGGGTCACCGTCGGCAGTTTGAGATGTTCTCTTTCTGTGTCCGCTGCTACCCTGCAGTGGTTACTGATCATAACCTCCCACCCTGCACACTGTGTGGTGAGACAAGCTGTGTGGACCTCCCACTTGATAATACTTTGTTTTAAATAAATGTCAAAATAGACATATTTAAGCACATCACAGTGGTCATACAGTGTGGAGTAAACTGTGAGAGACATCAATGTGGTCTTTTCTCATTCAACATTTTTTTGGGAGGATGGCTTTTTATATTTTGAGACAGGGTCTTGTTCTATAGCTCAGCCGGACCGCAAACCTGTGATCCTTCTGCTTCAGCTTTCCCAAAGCTGGGATCACAAGCGTAGACTACCATATCATCATATCACATCATATCACTTCTGAAGAACCTTTATGGTTCTGTGATGCTCAGTCTGTGATGGCAGGCCTGAAAGGGAGGGGACACCGAAGTCAGAAGAGGGACAACCCCCTGCTTATCCTCTCCCCCTCCCCAGACATTCACAGAGCGTGACATACATCACTTTCCTTCTGTTCTGTTCTTGACAGTCACACACCATCAGGCTTTTTGCACAAGGCAGGTAACTGAGACTTTGGGCTACAACACCAAAATTTAGAATGCTTGAGCAAGTATTGGTCGGTAGTGGCTTTAAAGGAGTCTGTGACTTTAAATTTTTGTTAAATGAATGAATTGACAGTCTGGGTATTCCTTTAGCAGTGTAGAAACAACTGAGCTTAGCACCTAGTTATCGAGAATAATTGGTTAAAAGGAGAAGCTAGCAGATGGTGTGCATGGCTAATAACACCCCTCCTCTGCCAAATTGGAGGCACAAAGTTGATTGAGGGCCCATGGCATGCTATTTGCCCAAGGCTTCAAATTTGCCAGGTCTGGGCAAATACAAAGCCTGGCTTTAAGCTGGCTTCTAACTACTGACAACGCTTGTTGGCATGCTCTCCCAGCCCTTCACCACCTATTTACAACATACTGAGGGGGTGAGAAAGCTCCCTTCTTGGCTTTCTTGGTTTAATCCTCAGTTTCTGCCTTGCCTCTTCTCTACCACGGGGCCAAAAAGAGAAAGGAAAATGATATCAAAGTTGAGTGTGAAACTGCTTTAAACCACCACAGCTCTCCTGCACAGCTGGTTTCATGATGACCCCAGCTGGCTTCTGGGGAGCCCCTAGGACTCCGATCTCTGCTAGAGTTGGAATCTGACCTCAGTTCAGCCACCACTTTGTAACATGAGGGGGGGGTTCCCTTTACCTCTCCCAAACACCAAGGAAGTGAGCCACCTGCCTAAATGTCCCTACAGAATGATAGCTGAATTACAGCCTTTAAAAAATGGACTTCCTTGAACCTAGGAGGCATCACTTCCACCATGAGGAAATTGGGCTAGAATGGTCCTTCCCCAGGATCTCTCTTCATTCAGGTACATGTGGATAGGATGGCTTTGAGGTTGTGGTAAAACACTCAAGGAAAATAGTATTCGATAGGTACTTGAGGAAATGAGCTGGGACTCAAGAGGAGGTCTGGAAATAGATTCGAGGCGAGAAGTGAAGATAGAATGAAGGCGCTCACTAAAGAGAAGTGTAAAAAAAAAAAAAAGAACAAAAAGTCAGAGATGCCCTTAGAAGAGGAGGTAGATTAAGAAACGCACAGAAATAATAGCTTCAACTGTCAGTAGAGCTGAGGGTGCCTTTAGAGAGGACACGCTTTGAGAAAGGCATTTGACAACTGCTCCTGAGAGGGAACTCCTGCCAACAACGATGACCGCACCTCCCTGCTGTCGCTATAGCCCTGACTCACCTTCCTCCTCTCTAGGCTGTGAAGCTTCATCAAGGGATTGATATCCTGGTCTCCAATGCTGCTGTCAACCCTTTCTTTGGAAACATACTGGACACCACAGAGGAGGTGTGGGACAAGGTGAGAGAAAGCTAAAGCTGCAGCAGGGCACTGGCCTTAGAAACCAGTCAGCACAGACTTGGCCGGCCTGCAGAATGCTTTCTTCCAGAGTGTAGATGTGAATGGTTCACCAAGGGCTATGCCAAGTCCTGAGCTTGGGAAAGTGTGGAGGGTGGTGGCTTCCCATGCCCTGCTTGTGTCTTTCACCTCTGCTTTTCCCTAGCTTTGTCTGCTGTCATTTGTCTGTGCCAGCCATCTCTGCTTCCATCCCCACTCTTTCCCCTGGCCTGCTCAACCATGCCCTTCTTCCTAGTTTGTTTCCAACAGAAACATGACAGTTAAGAGGCCACCAATACTATGCTTAAACTTACCCATCCACCGTTCCCTTCTCAGCTGTTGGAAAGGAATGTGTTTTCATTGGTTGGGAATGTTAGTAACTGCTGTTGGCTGAAATGTCAATTTTGGTGAAATTATAGAAGGTACATTATAGCATACAGCCTTTGGATATGGCCTGTTTGTTCTCATTCTAACCGCACTGCTAAGAAAAGTCTAGGTGCCTAAAAGGTGCTGGGATGTTGGTCTTCAGATGAACATGTGTTGTCACATCATATTCATAATGTAATTTGCCCATCTACATACACCTTTAATGATAAAGCTGTTATCTAAGGCCACTATTCCCTTGTGATTTGGATATGCTAAATTCTTATAATCCCCCTGTAGATTTCTCAACATGGAAGTGTAAGGATAGCAACAAAACAAAACAAAAAGTGTAGCTTATCAGTGTTCCAAACATAAAGACCAAAGTACCAAAATTTCTTCAGTGAGCCAGTTTTGGTTAAGATATTTTTTAAAGTAAACAGGCCTCTTTTGGGAAAAGTCAAATAAAGTTCAGTTTGTAGATCAGTAATTTTTCTTCTCCTTTTTATTTTAAAAGTTTTCTTTTTAATTTGTTGTTTTGTTTTTGTTTTTCAAGACAGGATTTCTTTGTGTACCCCTGACTGGAACTTACTCTGTAGACCAGGCTGACCTAGAATTCACTGAGATCCACCTGCCTCTACATCCTGAGTACTGGGATTAAAAGTGTGCACCACCAGCATCCAACATACATTTAAAAAAAAAAAAAAAAAAAGTTTATGTTTTGCCTGTATTTGTATCTGTGCACCACATGCATGCAGTGCTCACAGAGGCCAGAAGGGAGCACTGGCTAACCTGGACGTCAGACCTCCAGTGTGCCTGTCATCTCAGTATTCAGCTGAATCCTTGAGCTCTAGGTTCAGTGACAGAACCTGTCTCAAAATACAGTAAGTTGGAGTAGCAGTTGAGGGAAATACCCTGCACTGACATCTGACCTCCTCCCCACAAAAATATTAAATAATGTTGAGCGTGAAATCCCAGCAGTAAGGAGACTGAGACAGGAGGATTGCCATGAGTTCAAGGCCAGCCTGGGCTACAGAATAAGTTCCTGGATAGCCTGGGCTGCAGAGTGAGAATATGAAACTGTACAGATGTGTGAAGAGGGTAAGTCAGGCAAAAGATAAATAACTTGAATCTAACTAAAGGATGCTGGATATTCACTGTATTTCTATTGCAAACCTTAGTAAGATTAAAAGTTTTCAGACTAAGAAGTTAGCATGCCTACAGAAGGTGAACAACCCACTACTTAGAACAATTTTAAATGTGAGATACGGGAACTGTGATTGTAGACTATACCCTGGCTCCCCCAGAGATGCTCCCGCATTATTCTACTTTCTGATAAATATTCATCCAGATGGTCCATCCTGGAGGTCCTCTTGCTTCTTCAAGGGTGGAAGCCAAGGAGGCAAGGAGACACCCAGGTGTCTCAGGTCAGGCTACATATTCCCTGAGAAGCCCAGCCTGTTATAGTACAGGTCCAGGCAACGACCCAATTCCCTGTTCCCCATACTTGGAAGAAATACTATATCCAGCTCAAAACCAAAGCAACCCTGAGAGGTCAAGCTGATTGTGGACTGGCTGGGTAGGAGAGATACTTTATCTCATCTCACCTGACTTGATGTGTCATCATCAAGTGACGAGCTGTGAGAGGCACCTACCCAGTCCTGAACCCTAGTTTCTCACACTGTTAGGTCAGCTATCCCTGAGAATCTCCATCAGCTCCAACAGGCGTTTTCAGGGAAGCTATGAAACTCCACCTCACTGTGCCCTTGCAGCAACCGCCTCATGTTGTCTTCCTTTCTGTTGGCTTCAGGTTCTGAGCATTAACGTGAAGGCTACAGCCATGTTGATAAAAGCAGTGGTGCCAGAGATGGAAAAACGAGGGTAACCGACACAAAGGGGAAGCTTGGGTGAGATGGGCCCGCATGGGCGGTGGCCTTTATGCAGAAAATAATCATCTTTCTTTCCCTTTCAGAGGTGGCTCGGTGGTAATTGTGAGTTCCATAGGAGCCTTCACTCCATTTCCTGTAAGATCCTAGCACCTCTGCCCTGTCTATTATCCTATCCCATCCACCCCTCCAACTGCCCAAAGAAGTATTTTAGCATCATTCTATCAAGTCCTCTCCCACAAAATAGACACCATGAGCCCTAACCTACCTGAGACTCCAAGGTGACTTCTGGCTGTGACCCTTCCTTACAGGAGGTGCCTTCCTGGCCCCTGCCTTCACTGTACAATAAGAACTAACAATGACCTCTAAAGTAATGGACTAACTCGTTCTCTTCTCTCCCTAGTCTCTAGGCCCTTACAACATCAGTAAATCAGCTCTGCTGGGTCTCACTAAGAACTTCGCCTCAGAGCTGGCCTCAAAGAACATTAGAGTGAACTGCTTGGCACCGGGGCTCATCAAGACTCGTTTCAGCAGTGTGGTGAGAAGGGAGAACACTGAGCCCCAGACCCCTTGAAAGGACAGGGGAGCCCAGTGCCTGAGTCCGGAGCCCCCACCCCTTCCCATTCCTGCTTCTGTGCTTTTGAGTTACTTCCCCAGACCAGACTTGCACATATTCCTTTCCTATTGGGCTCTACCGAGTGAGGGATTCCAGCTGTAGACACACTGTATCCCGTCCCCTAAAGCGGATGAGAATCGAGGAGACCAAGCAAGACCCCTGAATAAGACGTGACAAGGAGAGCAGGGAGTGGAGCAACACCAGATGAGACTGAATTGCCCCTCCCAGTTGCTGTGGGGACAGACAGCTCCCTCCCTTCTCTCCCCATGCTTTCCTCTTCTTGTACATAAAAAGAGTTCTCTTCTTCCTGCAGTTATGGAAGGATGGATCAAAAGAGGATATCATAAAAGAACGCATGCAGATTAGAAGGTAAGCTGTCACGGGTGAGGACTGGTGTGAATAAAGACAGAAGGTTCACCCCTGACTCTCAGTCCCACCGATAACACACCATGCTCCTTCTAGACTTGACAAATTCATAAATCCATCGCTCCTATGACTTGACCAAGGACACTGCTTTCATTGCAAAAAGCAAAGTAGAGCTCTCATCCGCCGTCTGCCTCTACCTTGAACCTGTGGAGACCAGAACCCAAAAGACAGTGATGTTTCCAGTGCTCAGGCAGATGATCCTACAACCCAAGCAAAATGTCTGTGAAGCCCACTGAGCAGAGACCCTGCCTGAGGAAACCGCTCCCGTTCCCGGAGGGCTGGCTGGGCCACTCAGACATTTCTGCTAGGTTTCTATTGCACTGTCACTGTGTCTCTCTGCCTTCTGGCTTCTCTAGCTTGACCCCTCAAGGACAAATGCTGACATCTTATCCAGCCTTCCTCAAGTTTTCCCCAAAGACATGCTGAAGTCAGGTATGAGTTTTAGGCCTAGGTCAGGGCATTGCCAATCTGGAGACTGCAGCGAATGCTCTAATCCAGTCCTGGCTGCACACTTGGTTTGTTTTTGTTTTGTTTTTTACTTTTCTATATGTATTTTTTTCTTATTTTACATATTGATCCCAGTTTCCTCTCCCTCCCTCCCATGCCCTGTGACCCCCTCCCATCCCATCTCCCCCACTACACATGGAGGTTGGTGCCTTCCAAGAGGGATCATCAAAATCTGTAAGTCATTTGGAGTAGGGACTAGGCCCGCCCTCCTGCCTCTAGGCTAAGGGAGTATCCCTCCATGGGGAATGTGCTCCCGAAGTCCTTTTGTGCACCAGGGATACATCCTGGTTCCACTGTCAGGTCAGAGGTCCCTTAGACTGCCCAGACCTTCTAACTGAGACCCATGTTCAGGGGGTCTGAGTCAGTACAATGCTGGTTTCCCAGCTATCAGTCTGGGGGTCCATGAGCTCCCCTTGTTCAGGCCAGCTGTCTCTGTGGGTTTCTGTAGCCTGGTCTTGATCCCTTTTCTTACCACTCCTCCCTCTTTGCAAGTAGATTCCAGGAGTTCATCTCAGTGTTTAGCTGTGGGTGTCTGCTTCTGTTTCCATCAGCTACTAGATGAGGGCTCTATGATAGCATATAAGTTAGATAACAATCTCATTTAAGGGCATTTAAGGTAGCCTTTCCACTGTTGCTCAGATTGTTAGTTGGGGTCATCCTTGTAGGTCTCCGGAAATTTCTCTAGAGTTAGTTTCCTCTTCAAACCTATAATGGTTCCTTCTATTATAGTATCTCTTTTTACTCTCTCATCTATTTGTCCTCCCCCCCCCCATCTTCCTAGTCCCACATGCTCCTCCCCTTCTCTTTCTCCTAGCTCCCTCTCTACTCACTGCTCCCAATATGCTCAGGATATCTTGTTCCTTTCCCCTTGTGAGGGACCTTATATGAATCCTCCTTGTATCCTAGTTTCTCTGGTGCTGTGAATTATAGGCTGGTGATCCTTTACTCTATGTCTAAAATCCATATATGAATGAGTACATACCATGTTCCTCTTTTTGTGACTGGGTTACCTCACTCAGGATTGTTTCTTCAAGTTCCGTCCATTTGCCCGTGAATTTCAAGATTCTGTTGTTTTTTTCTCCCCCCCCCCAGTAGTATTCCATTGTGTAAATGTGCCATATCTTCTTTATCCATTCTTCATTTGAGGGGTATCTAGGTTGCTTCCAGGTTCTTACTATTACAAATAATGCTGCTATTGCTGCTATGAACGTAGTTGAACAGATGTCTTTGTTACATGGATGTGAATCATTTGGGTAAATGCCTGAGAGCGGAATTGCTGGGTCCAGTAGTAGACTGATTCCCATTTCCCTGAGGAACCGCCATACTGATCTCCAAAATGGCTGTACGTGTTTGCACTCCCACCAGGAGTGGAGGAATGTTCCCCTTTCTCCACATCCTCTCCAGCATGAGCTGTCATAGGTGTTTCTGATTTTCTGGCTGCACATTTGAATCCTCTAGGGAAGCCCTGACAAGTGCAATTGATATAACACACTCCCAGGCACTCTTCTTTAATTGGCCCATGGTGGGATTTGCATGCCTTTTTTCCTTTCCTTTCCTTGTTTTTGAGCATCCCAATGAACTACAATGTGTAGTGAAGTTGGAGAAACACTCATGTACTCCTCCTAGTCACATACTGCCACCTCTAGAACATACAGAATCACAATACAAACACTGTGATTGAACACATTCTTATAAAATGAATATGGTCCTGAAAGGGTAAAAAAAGATTCCTGAAAAGGATCTGGATATGGAACCTGTACCAATGAAATAATTTGATCCTTCCATTTACTGTCATAAACATTATCTGACACTGGAATAGTATATATACATGCTGAGACAATTTCTTTTGAAACATGAAATAATTCTTCATCATTTTATCAGTTCCATTCTTCATTCTGGTATCTAAAAACAGTGTTTCTGTATTTAAATATAACGTGGTTTTACAGGAATCAGTATATATATATAAATTATAACCACAGAATCATAACCACCCTATTTAACAGGCAAAAATCTGTACACTCGTTCTGAAAAATCACCTCCTTCTTTTTAACTTTTTAAAAAATATGTATGGGTGGGCTGGTTTGTTTGGTTGGTTGGGTTTGGTTTTTTTCGACACAGGGTTTCTCTGTGTAGCTCTGGCTGTCCTGGAATCCTCTCTGTAGACCAGGCTGGCCTCAAACTCACAGAGATCCGCCTGCCTCTGCCTCCTGAGTGCTGGGACTAAAGGCGTGCGCCACCACGCCAGCATGTAGGCATCACATCCCATGGAACTGGAGTTTGAAACCATTGTGAGCTTCCTTGTGTGCTGGGTCCCCTGTGTCCTTTGGAAGAGCCCCTAGCTAATGCTCTTAACCACTGAGCCTCTATCTCACCAGCTCCCGTCTGATAATTCCTAAACAAATGTCATGCGCTGTGGGCCAGATGAGAGAGGCTAGCCCGGTTTACATTTGCTCTCTCCTTGTTCCCCAGGCTAGGCAAACCAGAGGATTGTGCCGGCATAGTTTCTTTCTTGTGCTCTGAAGATGCCAGTTACATCAGTGGCGAGACAGTAGTGGTTGGGGGAGGAACCCCTTCTCGCCTCTGAGGACCGCCTCTGATGACCTACAGAGAGGTTAACTCCAACTAGTGTGTGTGGGGAGGGTGCAGACCACCTTGCCTCTGCACCCTTGTGGCTGCCTAGTATTTTGTTCACCCCACAAAATCAGCTCTACCCAGTAATAAATTCCTGCTTTCTATGTGGTCAAAGTGTGGTCAGATGAGCATCCCTGCTGTTGCTATGGCCTTGTAAAAGGCTTGGGGAGGGGGGTGGAAAAGAACTTGCTGAAAAGACTGTGGCTACCTTGGTGAAGACCAAGTCCCCCTCTCCCTCCTCCTCCCCCCCCCCGGAGAATCTGAGGGAGATAGAAGGGACCTAGAGTGGAAGGAACAGAAATGGAAATTAACAATTTACAAACAAGGTACAAATAAAACGAAGATGATCTCGTTGCTCACTCTGAATCAGTGTGTGCTCATTTCTCAACGTAAGGTGCTTAGAGTATCTGAGAAGTCTGGGCAGTGCTGGGTCTCTGGATTTTCCCCAAGCCTCCTCCCAGTCTCCAAAGCCTGTGCTTGATGCTCAAGGGTGGAGGTGTCTGCCGAGCTGCCAGCCGTTGGGGGGAGGGGGTGGCTCGGGAACTCCCAAGTGCTACTCTTAGCCTCACACCCCCAGGGACTGTGCCAAAGACGCCACGGGGATCCCCAAGACTAGACTAGCGAGCAGAAAAGAACCAACTCCCTCCCTCACATTCGGACAGGTCTTTTTGCAGCATCGCCCTTGATTCAGAGTTCCCTCCAGGGTCAGCTAGGACGAGCTGAACGGTTCCTGAGCAGGAAGGAGGGGGAGGGCGGGGCCATACAAGAATGACCCGGGGAGGGGGTACCAAGGCACATAAACAAAGAAATAGAAGGTTCTGCTCCGTGTGGCCGAGGTGTGGGTAACACGGCAAGTGAAAACGCTGCACCCCGCCCCTGAGCTAGCTCGGACAGCAGGCGCCGCGCTCTGGGCTCCTCACGAGGTAGCCCGCGGGAGGGGTCGTCGCGAGCGCGCGCGGGGTCTCACGCGGCTCGGAAGCTCAGCGCGCATGCCCCATTGGCCAACTCTCGGGGAGGGGCGGGAGACCCGGCGCTCAGTAGCCGGGGGGAGGAGCGCTCGCGCAGCCGCCCCTGACGGGAGCGGGCTCAGCCGCTACTGCAGCGCTCAGCAACGGGCCCTGCCGGAGCCGGGACTAGCATGTGCGGCGCCTCTCGGGAGGCGGCGGCGGCGGCTCCTCTGCAGCAGCAGCAGCAGCAGCAGCAGCAGCAGCGGCGGCCGCCATGGCCAAGGCCAGCGTGGAGCTCACCCGCGAGCTGCAAGGTACGAGGTTGCCTTCATCTCCGGACACCCGGTCCGCGAGCATCCAGACCCAGTGCTTCCCTGCGGTACACCCCAGCCCGGCGCCTCCCGCCCCCTCACGCATCCTCGCTCTTAGGCAGTCCCTTCCTCTGCATCTCAGTCTCAGCTTTGCTTTCCGTGGAGCATCCTTCTCTGCCCCACTCGCCTCACCCTATCAGAACCTTCCTGTCCCGGAGCCGCCCGTCCCGTTCTTCGGTGACAGGTGCAGTTCCTTGGCGCTCTTGGGGGCTGATTCTCAGCGCTCTTGACCCACCCCTCCGCAAGGCATCCAGTCTTCCTTCCCTCCCGAGAGTCCCAGCTTTCCCCCACCCTCGCCGGGCGGGGCCAGGCGTTGGGAGCTGCCCCTGGTCCTGACTGCTGCTTATCTCAACACCCTCCCTCCTCCCAGCCCCGCCCCGGAACTGGCCCTGGAGAGGCCCCTACGAGCCTTGCAGCGCCCTGGCCAGTGGGGCAAAGGAGGGAATCAGGGCAGAGGCCCTAGACTGAAGCTAACACCAAGAGCAGGTTTTCTGAGACTCGTCTCCCATAGTCCCCGTCCCAACCTGCCCCCTTCTCTTTACCCACACCTCTAGACCTCTATGGATCAGTGATTCTAAGACCTCTCTCTAATCCCACTCCCCGCAGCACTGCTACAACCCTGATCTTCAAAGGCAGGAGCACAGGCTAGCCCATGCAGAAAGCAGGACTCTCAAGGATATTCAGAGTGCTATTGCACTCCGGAGATCTCTCACACCTACACATGCATGCACTTAGAAGCACAATCATGAGATGTGTGTACATACATCTTAAAGAAACTGTGCCTCCACCACATATAGGCACGCTCTTTCCTCATGTTAACACGCGTGCACGCACGCGCGCGTGCGCACACGCACACACACGCACACACTCACACAGTGGGGTAATTGGATGGTTCTGTTAGAAGCTGGCTGGGTATAGGCTCATTGAGGCATTAAATCTTTCTCTTATCCCACCCTCCATACAGATACTGTCTGGCACTATGCCCCTTTCATATGCAAGCCAGCACTCATTCACACTCTCTGTCCCCACTAATGTCATATTCAGATTCCCTGGCGTCATCAGAAGACAAGCATGCAGCCATAGTAAAAAGCAGATTCTCATGCCCAGACCACCTAGGGTGTAGTCAGGGGACATTCCCACACCCATCCCCAGCTCCACACATACACACTGACTCACTGTGTATGTTGATGGTTGCTGTGCACATGGGTGGGGAAAATCCTTCACACCTTCAGAAGTGTAAGATACATGCTCCCACAGACACTGTCATTCAACAACTGTCCCCTGACCAGGGGACACTGGGACCAGAGTTTTCTCCTTACTGTCACCCAGAAAGGGAAAGTCTCTGCCCCATACCTCTCTATCCAGTACCTACTTGCTTCTGTTTCTCACCTCTCATCTGCCCCTTCTTCTCTGGAGAGTGGGGTGGGGGAAGGAGGTAAGAGAAGTTCTAAGCAGGCCCTACCCATCTGCAGACAGCATCCGGAGATGCCTGAGCCAGGGAGCTGTACTCCAGCAGCATCGTGTGAAACTGGAGACAAAACCCAAGAAGTTTGAGGACCGAGTGCTGGTGAGAGCGTTGGTCTCAGGGGAAGAGGAGATGTGCAAGGGCAGCTAGCTTTAGGAACTGGGCAAGAGAAACAGTTGGGGGTGGTGCTGAAGGGGCAACGCCTAAGGGAGAGGGCAGAACCAGACTGGGCTGAGGTAGAAGAGCTGAAGGTCGGACAGGAGAAATGCAGGGGGTGGGGTGCCTTGGAGCAGAACCAAGGAGCTAAAAGGGGGCCAAGAGGCTACCCTGAGCTGTTGATGCTCTCTTCTGCAGGCCCTGACCTCCTGGCGCCTCCACCTTTTCCCCCTTAAAGTTCCTGCCAAGGTAAGTAACCTAAGGAGTGGGGGATGCCTGGCATGCTCCTTTAGAGTCTAGTGACCTCCCACCCACCACCATCCCCACCCGTGCCCCACAGGTGGAGAGCTCATTCAATGTCCTGGAGATCCGTGCCTTCAACACACTCAGTCAGAACCAGGTGAGCACCAGGCCTCAGGCCGCTACTGGGCCAATTAGGTGAAGGCGTGGATAGCTGAGGTTCTCCCTCCCCCTCAGATCCTGGTGGAGACTGAACGTGGCATGGTGAGCCTAAGGCTGCCATCAGCTGAGAGTGTGGACCAGGTGACACGGCATGTGAGCTCTGCCCTCTCCAAGGTCTGCCCTGGCCCGGGGTGAGTGGCAGATAAGGGGTCTCCCAAAGGTTTGGACTACAGGCAGGTCTCTCCTTGCTATTAGTCTGGGCTCCCAGGACAAGAATGCTATCTCCATGGAGACCCCACACTGTAATCCAGGGGGAACTGAGAGCCTCTTGTACCTCTCTCTGGAATGATTTGTTCATCTTCCAGGTGTTTGATCCGACGTGGAAATGCAGACACCCCAGAGGGGCCCCGAGACACATCTCCCAACTCTGAAACTTCCACATCCACCACTCACAGTGTGTGTGGTGAGCAGGGGCAGACATGAGAATGTGGGTCTTGGAGCATCCTACCCCTATCCAGAACCCTCTATGCATGGGCTTTGCTTGAAGGGCCTTTGCCTGTCCTGAGGACCTCAGTCTCTTGGACCTCAGGAGGTGTATGGCATGGAAGGAACCTAGGACACTAGCACATGCAATGACCTTGACCATACCTTGAAGCCCAAGCCCATTTCCCATCCCCCTCAACAACACAGAACCAGCCCATCTCCTGCCCTGCAGGTGGCTTCTCCGAGACCTATGCTGCCCTGTGTGACTACAATGGACTACACTGCCGTGAAGAGGTGCAATGGGTGCGTTGGGCAAGGACTTGGCAGGGGATAGGTGGGGTCCAGAGGGAGGGGCAGAGGAGGGGGCTGAAGCAGACATGAGCCACTCCCACCTCTCCAAGGATGTGGACACCATCTACCATGCTGAGGATAACCGAGAGTTCAATCTTTTGGATTTCAGCCACTTGGAGAGCCGGTAAGCAGACGGGCAGAAACTTAACCCCCAAATTCCCAGCCTCAGCCTTGCCCTTCTCAGGTTCCCCTTCTGGGCCTACCCACAGCCCCTGCTTTACCCCTGAAATTCCAACCCCACTGCCATCCACCCATCTAGCTGTCCCCGGCCCAACCGTCCCAGTCTTAGTCTCTTCATTCTTGCCCTAGTTCATCCTTTCTTGTCCTATCCAATATCTACCCAGAGATTTGGCCCTGATGGTGGCAGCCCTGGCCTACAACCAGTGGTTCACCAAACTCTCCTGCAAAGACTTGAGACTGGTAAGAACGAGGACTTGGGGGAGGGGGACAGAGTAGTGTTCTTCTTGGCTCCTGATTGCAGGACCCCTCTGTCCTCAGGGCTCAGAAGTGCTAGAACAGGTGCTACATACCCTCAGCAAGTCGGGAAGCCTGGAAGAGCTGGTGCTGGACAATGCTGGGCTTAAGACGTGAGGCCAGGCTCCTGTGTGGGCAGTACTTTGTTCATATAGTCTTAGAGTCCCAGAACAGCAGAGTATGATGAGGCCCTGGGCTACTTCATCTAGCTCCTCACTCTGTAGAGGAGGCTGATGCTTAGGCAGGCACAAAGCAAGCCAGGGGTCAAACTGGGACTCACACCTCAACCCTGATGTCCCAGTTCCTGATTTATCCCCAGCACACACTTCGCGTCCCATCAACTTCCAAGCAGGGTGGGCTGCTCCAGGTTCGGGAGCCCAAAGCTGGGCTTTGCCTCAGCAGGTCTTTCTGAGGTGTGGAATGGCCATAGATATGGAATCAATATGTAGCCCCACCTTCCACCTCCCAGGAGCTCCTACTCGAAAATCTCCCTGGTCAGCCCCAAGTTGCTCCTCTGTCACAGGGACCTCTAACATTATAGCCCCCAGCCAGATGGGCAGACAGGAGATGGGAGGGCAGCCAGGGGCTGGAGACTTGGGGCTCAGCTCAGGTCAAATCCTTCCTCCCCTTCCCTGAAGGGACTTTGTCCAGAAGCTGGCCGGGGTGTTTGGGGAGAACGGGAGCTGTGTGCTGCATGCCCTCACTCTGTCCCACAAC